GATAGATAGATAGATAGATAGATAGATAGATAGATAGATAGATAGATAGATAGATAGATAGATAGATAGATAGATAGATAGATAGATAGATAGATAGATAGATAGATAGATAGATAGATAGATAGATAGATACCAAATGTGCTTGCTGCAGAGAAGTGCTTCGCATTTAAAACGCATGCGTGGTATAACACACTTACAGTTGATGAACAGGCATCACCTCAAAGATAAAAACCAAAACAGAAGTAAATAGAAAAGCTACCAATCACCCGTTAGGTTAGCCAATACTAAGTTGAAATGACTTTGGTGAAGAAACGAATACCGTGACAAGCATGCGCCAGGCGGCCGCCGGCCTTTTCCCAAAGCCAAAGACGTATGCACGGGGGAAATTCGTGGATATTAAAAGGTTGTGTTTGTTTTCTCGTTCTCTTCTTTCAGAGCTGGAAAAGAATGGCGATTTTGGTGAGTTTGGCATTACACTTGCACTGTCAACACCGTGGCGCGTGTTTTTGGGATTACACTTGCAGTGTCAACACCGTGGCGCGGGATGTGTAAACAGGGGACACCTTTTAGAGAGATGTAGTGCCCCCAAAGCCTAATATTCAGGCAACAGCCAGTCTGGTCTAGCAATAGCCACATGGAAAAGGGTTGAGTTAAATGATGTTGCACATGCCAGAAAAATTTGGCATACTTACTGTTACATGTAGACCATCGGTAATCCTTTTTTACGCAGGCGTTTGTGAAGAGCTTGGTATATAGAACAGAGCTAACTCGCGACATTGAAAATGACTGAAGGTCGTATCAAAGGGGGAGGGGGAGGGGTACCTTCTACAGTTGATTGGAGCGACCATGATGATGTGGTATGACAGCATATTTCTCTCTTTCCTCAGGCGGTGAAATATGGGGTTCGCCATTTGTTGTCGCTTTGAAAAGCTTCAGGTGATATTGTCTCCTTGTGGTGACGTTGCCTTCGCGAGAGCCGGCGTCACGCAACGTTTAACGCAAAAGCGTTAAATAGCTCGTTCGGCGAAAAGCCGGTGTGGGCATCGATGTTGGTGTTGGCGTGATTTATTGTTAGCAAAGAATCATCCTGATTATCTTGTCCATGATTGAAAAATTGAAAAAGATGCCATAAAACTAAACAAATATTCGGGTACGAGTGAGGTTGTTTGCGTTGCAAGCACGTATCCTACCACAAAGTCATGAATTTGCTTGGGAGTACGATGTAAATAACTTTCTTTGCCTGGAAATTCAATGAAACGGTCATGCTTTACACACGCGTCATGTATAGAGGTTTTACGATACAACTACAACATGTAATATCGCTGTAGTATTGCGTGGTACAAGCGTACATTGTCATCCGGCGTTCGATCATTTGATTATCATGACGATCTCACGACTTAGAGCGTGCCAGTCATTTCAAAGGCTCAGACGTTAAAGCCCGTATTCCTTTAAGATTACGTAATTGCTTATGCTTTAAAAGCATGCCACCTAATACACAGAATGTAACCATATGCGAAAGCTCCACTGACAGAAGCCACCTTCAACTACATCGATTACATTGTAGTAATCCACAATTTCGATTTTTCGAGTACCATCACAAAATGTTAATTATGCACTAAGCGATCGAAGTACGCACTAGGGACAGGATATCGCTATCGCGTTCTGCTTTTTAAAGGTAAACCTTAAGTGTTCTCTAACCATTTCACTTTACCACCACTGGGATTCATCCACATTTTGTGAGCGCAAATGTGATAATGCGACATAAAAAATTTGAAGAACTACAGGCTAACGGCCTTGCTGTAATGGGAAGTCCACATTAGATAACGTTGCTGACAATGTATATCTAAGGAAAGGCTACAAGGGAGAATCGGAAAAGTTACTGACAGCGTTATTTACCTAAAGACGATCAACTAAGACAATAGCATAGGTAAGTGAAGTGTCAAATAACATTCATTTCGATGGCTGCGCAGAGGTATGCGAAAAATGCTCGAGTCATCCATGCGCCGCGAGTTAAAGACAGAGATCCAACAGCCTCACTCCTTGCCGAAACGCTGAAGCCTTTTGCAACTTCCCATATCTTCCGTGCTTCACCATAACTAAACAATGCCACCAAAATATTCATAAGCAAGGCCAACACGCTCATTGACCACATCTTATCTTACTAATTATCAAGAAATGAATGTGGCGTAACACCCCTCGATATCACTGATCACTATGCCATTTGTTGTTGCTTATCGTCAGAGTTGTCGCGAACGGAGTGTTCTTTTCGAAAAGCCCTATTTAACAAAGCCTAATGTATAGATTTCATATCATCTTTTGTCTCGTCGACGATTGAATGAGAACCGAATGCATAGCTAGTTTTTGAGGCATTCTCATCTGTATTAGGGCAATGTGTTCATGATGCAACCACTTTTGTTAGATGTCACAAAAGGTATCCTGCACCCCATAACTCATGGCTCACAGATTGTTTACTGCAGTGCACGCGTAAGAAAGACATTATGAGAAGAAAGACGAAACGTTGCCTATTTAACCTTGAGTATCAGCAGAGATACTCACGTTATAAAAATATTATAAACAAATTATCGAGAAACGCCAAAAAAGGGTATTACAAAAAAAAAATTCACGAAGCTGGTGGCATATCTGAATAATGGAAGATTATGTACTCTTTTCTAAACAGGAACTCAAAAAATACACAAATAGATAAGATTTCAAGCATTAATGGCAGCTGCCAAGATCCGACAGCCATTGCGGATAAATTTAGTAACTACTTTACAGTTAATAATACACCAGTGTCCGAAAGCTTTGAAATAACGCTCGAAAGACAACCACAGTCATTTTTCTTATATTCTATCATACCAGGAAAAATTCACAATGTAATCGAGCAATAAAGTTAACAAGCGCAAGTCTCGATAAGATTCAACAAGTCCGTTTGAAATATGTCGCCGATATGATTGTTTACCTCTTTTTATGTGTAATCAACTTTGTATTTCAAACGGCGTACTTTCATCTCGGGTAAAGAGAGCCAAAATAGTTCCTGTATTTAAAAAAAAGTGACAATGGTTTTGTTGCTAACTATCACCCTATTTCAATACTGTCTGTGCTGGGCAAAGTTATACAGAAGTGCTTCGGAAACATTTAATAAATTACTTCACAAAATTTAGGTCCTTGTGCCTCGCAGTTTGGCTTTCGTGAAGGTAACTCTACCAATCTCACGTTTTTTTTTCCTTCAGGAATATGATTAAACACTACATTGATACAGGTAATTGGGCTGGAACATTGTTCATTGATCTCACGAATGCGTTCGACTCAATCTTTCATAAAATTTTACTAACTATAAGTTAAACGCGGCTAATGTGGTAGGACCTGCGTTGAACTTCATTCACAGCTACTTGACTGCCAGAGAAAAGGCTGCAAGCAGTTCTAACCATCTTTCTAATTTTAGATTAGTCTTTAGGGGAGTACCTCAGGAATTTATACGAGGCCCTTTACTGTTCACCATTTACATTATTGATCTAACTTCTCACCTACTGCACTGTCCTAATACCTGCGTTGCGGTTAACACTACAATCTTAACTGCTTGCACCTTGATTGTTAGTCTCACTTCCAAGATGAATAGCGATCTTGAAAGTATAGTTCACTGGTGTCGTCAAAATTTATTAGAAATTATTCCCAATAAAACAGTTTTATGCTATTTTTCCCCACTCAGAAAAGGGTTTTTGAATTTCCGTGCATAACGGTCAATAATTATTCCATCCTAGCTGGCGGTTATTGGCGTTTCCTGGGTCTGATGTATAATTCAGCTTAACGTACGCCTTCCATGTTTTATACCTAAAGCAAAAAGATGCTCATGGTACCAGGATTGTGATCAAGACACGTCCACTTCCGTCTAAATACCTTACTTTTTATTTACTATGCCTTCATTCACAGTCACTTTACTCACTGCATTGCGGCCTGGTGTAATACATATAGCACTGATCTGGCTCTTTTACAACATATTCAAAGCCAGGCCATTCGCATGTTCACAGTTCAGTCACCACATTCAAGTGCATCTACTCTTTTACAAGAGCATGGTATTCTAACAATTCCGAAACTTTTATATTTTAACATGCCAATCCTCACATTCAATTCTCTTCACGCAAACATGTCATTCATATTTTTAAAAAGGAAAAACTCATGAATAAAAGTACACATCAATTTGCATAAAATAATGACTTCATGTTAAAAAAACTTAAAAATAATTATTGCACATTTAATTCCATTTTCACGGCAATTTTGGTCTGGAACACTATTCCAAGTGACGGAAATATGTCTCCAATCATAAGTACTTTTAAAAACCCTTATTTTCGTAAAACTTTGAGTGTAAATATTCTTCTAGTTCATGGTGTTTAGTCAGAACTGTTTTCCCATTATTTTTGTTCTTTAATATACCAAATTCGCTTATATTTATGTGTATCAAACTTTCCGCTTTGCTACGTACCCCTTTCGTCTTTTTGTCTTGTCGTCTTATTTGTCATCACCTGCGATATCTTGTAGAGCAGTATTCCATTCAGGACTATTACATTCTTACCGCGTGGTAGCATTTGCACTTGATTCTTGCATTGTAGTTTGTAGTAACGAGATTTGCATCGTTCGCTTTTGATCTCACTTGTATTTCTGTCTATTTGTATATCATGTTTAATTCGTATGCTGTCAAGTGTTATTGATCCTTTAAAACTTATTCTTTCTGTTTGCAAAATTGATCTACTGATTTATTTTCTTTTGTTTAGCCATTACAAGAAGTCCCCTTGCAGCCTAGAGCTGTGACACCTCCTTCCGTATGTTATTTCTATGCATTATCTTTCTCGCTTCACTTAAAATTATTTTTTCTTCTTCAAAGTAGGCTCTCAAGGAAACCGTTGAGGTGACCTATCATTAATTCTCAATAATAACAATGTACAAGACTTCGTTGTTATATTAGTTGTCACCATGAGTTCGTGACTGAGACCACAAAATGCAGTAAGTACGTGGATGACAGTCAAAGAAGAAATTTTTATTCCAGGTCATGTTCAACAAAGGCATATTCACTTTTCAAACGCCTGCGATCACAGGACCAGCCGGATCCCGCAGGCCTCTCTCATATCACGGCGTTTTACTGGCCCCTTGGCCACGGCGCTCTCAAATGACTGGGTCAAGTGTTGATGGGAAAGTGAAGAATCAGCCTCTATAGCCTCCTCCAAATCCACGTCCACCACCAAATCCTCGTCCACCACCAAATCCACGTCCGCCACCACCAAATCCACGTCCGCCACCACCGAAGCCTCGTCCACCACCGAAGCCACCACGGTAGCCTCCTCCGAACTGTGCTGTGGCGATGGTGAAGACCAGAGCCAGGACAAGAAGTCCGACAAGGAGGGTCTTGGTGCTGATCATGGTTTTATCTGTAATAATCGGTAATAGCGCGCGGGTGAATAAAAACACGTTGGTGCAACTTCAAATTTCCTTAAGTCAACCGATAGAAACTTCACATAGATGTAAACACACTACTGAGGTTGGAGTGTCTAATTCATAACTTTTAGGTTCAAATACATCCACAACGATTTCACCAATTACGAGTTAGCAAACACAAAACCTGAGTCTTCTTGCGCTTCCTAGTCATATTCTTTCTTTATTTCCCTATTTACTGTTACAAGAAATACAAACATTTATAAAAGGTAGACCTTACCCGTAAATGAAGTAGTCGCTCTGAACAGTGGTTTCTTTGAAAGGTCTAACATATTTGATTCTCCTGATCCTCGAAATGTGAACCCGACGGAATGAGTGCATACGTAAGCGTAAAATCGCTGCCCTGGTTGCAAAGTTTAGCTGTGTAAACGTGCGCTATTACTTCTTCCACACCCCTTTTACATGGTCCGCTACATGAGACGATTTTACATGCCTCACTCAAAAAAAAAACTTGTGAGCAGGTTTCATTACTGGAAAAGCACGTTTGCTTTAGAATACGCTTCGGAAGTAGGGTCTGCAAGGTAACACAGAATTTAAGTTGTCACTCTCCGTTTTGCCTGTTTTTTTTGTTGTTTTTTTGCACACAGGTGCAGACTGGAAAAACAAGTTTATGCTATCGAGTAGTGCCCATATTGGAAGTCGTCCGTTTATACAGTTCACATTGTCGGGTAGCCTGCGTCTCGCCACATCAGCTATTCCATATCTATCCCTTATACCGACATTAGCAGTTCTTCTTAAAGTAAAGCTGCTAGATTCCTAACGCTCAGCAATTGAATAGTAAGGTGAATGATCATTGCGATGAGCTTCCGCAAAAATGTGAATCAAACGAAAATCTGCTATTATAGCGTAAAATTTCTGGCGGCTAAATTCTTCATGGTTAACTATTTCAGAGCTTTATCGATGATTCAATGTTTTCGTTCCTTGCCTTGTGATCGCACCTTTCTATAAGATTAACTTTATTCGATGCATTAGAAAAACAATAATCTAAATAAAGAGGTTTATGTTAAAGAACGCGTCACTTCGTTTTCTCGTTACGTAATGAAATAAGAAAATCTGGCAATGATTAAAACAGAGCCAGAAGTATTCACGAATTAACCAGTGGACACGTAGGTCTTACTGACAGAGTCAGGGTGGCCACGTAGATGTTACTTGTCCGAATTCAGAACAGCTCGCAATAGATCGAAGCTACTAAGGTGACTGTTACCTTACAACTAGAAGATTATGTGATGCTTTCTCTTCAAAGGCACAATAAAAAGGTGACTTCGCGGCATTAACAAGAGGGCACATATACAATAACAATATGCGAAGGTGCGGTTGCGTATAGACACGTTTACTCCACCCGAGGAAATGGTCGACCAATGCTTACCTGGGAAATGGTTGGTCCGACAAATAATGCTGGACTGGAGGCCACGGCTGTTTTATATAGGAGCGTGCAGTGTGTTGTGTAATCGGAAAACGCGACCTGTGAATACCCACAACTGCATTTGTTTGGCAGACTTCCCCAACGTTCTCACTACGTGGAACATACGCAACGCGCCTCTCCACGTCAGATTCTACGTACTTACCTGCGAGAGACTAAACATTGCGCGTGCAGCCCGAAAACGCTCTACACCCTTCCGTAATTCATGGAGCCAAGCCGGCGAAACCTGCTAGATCGCCTGATTGCCCCGGGCTACCATTGGCCGCCACTGAAGACTACCTTTCGCCCCGTACTCAACCTAAGTGGCCCGACGTGACTGTCGTGCCAATACGGCGTTCCCTCGCTAGTCATTCAAGGTCCATGGCAGCGGGAAGCGTCACATTGCTTTAGAAGAAACAAAACAAATCTCGGAATTGATGACATCCCGGGACATAGCAATTTGCACATTTGCAAGGAGAAACAAAAACTTAGTAAGCCGATTTACGTCGTGCCCGAAGATAAAGCTTTCTTGTCGATAAATAACACCGATTTGCCCTTGGCACATGTATAAAAATTTGTTCGTTTGTTTATTTATGCCGACCACCTGTTTTCATTCTTAGGGTGACTTGCTAGTAAGGAATTATTAGTTATGCTATGTCTGTCATTTTCTGAAATACATCTAAGAAATTAATATTTCACTATAGCATCGCGAAGGTGCATGGTGTTGATCAGCAGATGAAGGTAGTGAAAGGAGAGCCATCGCTGCATTTGAAGGCTGTTTGCTTTTCAACGTTATCTTGTTGCTATAGTGACTGAAGAATAAATTAGGTAAATCGTTCAATTGCATAGCGACGTGAGCTGTTTTACAGCACACTTCGTGCTTCACGAATGCAGTTTTATTTAAGAGGTAGTCTTTGAACGTTATTCCTTTAACAATACTTATATCCTACCTTACTGACCGCAAACGACCAGATAGCGTACAGTGCGTAAAGCTATGTTTTGTTATTGCAGAAAATGGCGTGCCATGATGGAGCATGCAAGGTCCTATGCTTTTTGACCTCTACATTAACGACGGACGATCCTGATGATCATACAGGCGTCAAGCTTTTCATATACGCCAATGACACTATTCTTTCTTAGTTAGGTTCCCACAAACTAATATAAAAATATAATGGTATAATAAAGTGGTTTGTAAATGGTGGTACGCAGACCTCAGGGGATCCGAAAAGCCATATCGAAAAAAAACTAATAAATTTGTTTATTGGAGTCGCACGACGTTTCGCCACACCCACTTCATCCCTTTTCTATTATGCTTCGTCGTTTAACCCTTGCGGAATGCAGAGGAGCTGACTTGTGTTTCATCCCCTCGATGATATGTGTCTGTAAAGCTTTTGTCGAAGTTTTCTTTCAAATATGCATTCGAGCTTGCTTATTACAGGCGTGCATATTAGAAGAGAAAGCACAGCTAGAAACAAGTTGTATGTAGCTACAGACCACACAGCTTATGGACAAGCTGTGTAGTGTATGTAGTGTGACACTTTCGTTTGATCATTGTTTGCCAAGGAAAAATAAAAGGCACCGATTTCACGCTCCACATTGTTTTCATATATGACTCGCTCTTTATTTCTTCCGTGGCAACGGGTTCCTCATATATTTATGCCTGAGAACCACTGACCCAATTACTGAGCTGTCTGAATGGTCGATCTCTCTTAGCTAGAAATAAATCCCACGAAAACTAATGCTTTGCGCGAAAATTACAATTCTTACTGACAAGGGAACTCTAAACGCACCATGAACTTTGCAGGATGGCCCAGAGGAGGGAATTACAGAGTTCCACTCAGTTTTATTTCATGTCTGCATGGCTTAAATATATATACTTCTTCCACTAGGGCAGAGTTGCTCTTCAAGGTACTTCGTTTATGTGTTTGCTCCACACATTCCGGGCATAAATCCTGCAACACAGTGTTACTTATCACTACTATGAATATTTAAGCCTATTTGGTGGTGCCACTTAAGGTCAAAGCTTTTTGTGGGCTTATGTTCAAACATGCATCCAGCGCAAATATTTTAACATTTAAATAATTGTATAATTTCCCCTGTTATTCCTAAGAGAACTCATGCGTTTTCAACGAAACCTACTTTGTAACGGCACGTTCTCAGTCAACAGGACCTCGTCTCAAAGAGGCAATTGCTTCGCTTTCCATTTTAATGAAACAAGTCTTTCAGAAAATGCGAGCCGTCACACCCTCTAAATTACACCTACCCATAACAAACGGCTCAGCCATGAAATAATATCATCATAACCACTGGCATAGTTTATTCTCTAAACAAACAATAGACCAGCATAGTTGAGCGTATTGCCACTTAACCACGTTGCGCACTTCGTTACTTCCCAAAATGGCTAATTATGACGTTGTAGATACCTCACAACTGCACTTGCAGGTATCACTGTACAAGAGTTCACAACGGCAAGTGCCACGTGCAGAAGACGTCCCTTTTGACGTGAAACGCTTGAAGTTTCTGAAAAGAAGTAAAGCCTCGCGAGCGATTGAAAAAGCGATTTCTATTGGGTCCGAAACGCTACTGCGGTTTACTTTCGCGTGTAGACCTTGAGCATCCTCCGGTTTTTCTTTTACATCATTGCCTGAAAACTTTGCCTATATGTTTTTTTTAATAACCCTTAGTTTTTCTAGAGACTTACTTTCATTGTGAGATTCTTTCCCTTCAATCCTGCCCAACTCATAACATCCTTTACTGCCTCATGTGTCTTCCCATGAGCGGCATGGCATCCTGCGGTCAATCTTTTTAATGTAGAGTCCTTTTGACCAGAATCACAGCACTGATTTTCCACAAGTAAGTTCCAGTACCATTATACGTTTTCACGTACCTCGAGAAACCTACTAAAAATGTCAAAAAATATTGTTTTGCGCAATTAAGTATATCATTATTCGTGTCTTCTTTTGATGGTCACTGTGTTTGACTGTTTCAGTTTCATCATCATCATCATCAGCCTGGCTACGTCCACTGCAGGACAAAGGCCTCTCCCATGTTCCGCCAGTTAACCCGGTCCTGTGCTTGCTGCTGCCAATTTATACCCGCAAACTTCTTAATTTCATCTGCCCACCTAACCTTCTGTCTCCCCCTAACCCGCTTTCCTTCTCTGGGAATCTAGTTAATTACTCTTAATGACCAGCGTTTATCCTGTCTACGCGCTACATGCCCGGCTCATGTCCATTTCCTCTTCTTTATTTCAACTATGATATCCTTAACCCCCGTTTGTCCCCTAATCCACTCCGCTCTCTTCTTGTCTCTCAAGGTTACACCTACTATTTCTTTTTCCATTGCTCGCTGCGTCGTCCTCAGTTTAAGCTGAACCCTCTTTGTGAGTCTCCAGGTTTCTGCTCCGTAGCTAAGTACCGGAGAGATACAGCTGTTATATACCTTCCTCTTAAGGGATAATGGCAATCTACCTGTCACAATTTGAGAGTGCTTGCCGAATGTGCTCCACCCCATTCTTATTCGTCTAGTTACTTCAATCTCGTGGTTAGGCTCTGCGGTTATTACCTGCCCTAAATAGACATAGTCTTTTACAACTTCAAGTGCACTATTACCTATCTTGAAGCGCTGTTCCTTTCCGAGGTTGTTGTACATTACTTTCGTTTTCTGATAATTAATTTTAAGACCCACCTTTCTGCTCTCCCTGTGTAACTCCGTAATCATGAGTTGCAATTCGTCCCCTGAGTTACTCAGCATGCAATGTCATCGGCGAAGCGCGGGTTACTAAGGTATTCTCCATTAACTCTTATCCCTAACTGTTCCCATTCTAGGCTTTTGAAAACCTCCTGTAATCACGCGGTAAATAGCATTGGGGAGATTGTGTCCCCCTGCCTTACACCCTTCTTGATTGGTATTCTGTTGCTTTCTTTATGAAGCACTATGGTAGCAGTTGATCCCCTGTAGATTTCTTCCAGAATGTTTATATATACTACATCTACGCCCTGATTCCGCAGTGTCTGCATGACGGCTGATATTTCTACTGATTAAACGCCTTCTCGTAATTTATGAAGGCTATGTATAGTGGTTGGTTATACTCTGAGCATTTCTCTATTACCTGATTGATAGTAAGAATGTGGTCAATTGTTGAGTAGCCTGTTCGAAATCCTGCTTGTTCCTTTGGTTGATTGAATTCTAATGTTTTCTTTACTCTGTTAGCAATTACCTTTGTAAATAGCTTGTAAACTAAAGAGAACAAGCTGATCGGCCTGTAATTCTTCAAGCCCTTGTCATCTCCTTTCTTATGTATTAAGATGATGTTAGCGTTCTTCCAAGACTCTGGTACCCTTCCCGCCAGGAGACACCTCGTAAACAGGGTGGCTAGTTTTTCTAACACAATCTGTCCTCCATCTTTCAGCAGATCTGATGTTACCTGATCGTCACCAGCAGCTTTGCCTCTTTGCATGCTCTCCAAAGCTTTTCTGACTTCTTCTATTATTACTGGTGGGGTGTCGTCTGGGTTACTGCTAGTTCTTATAGTATTAAGGTCGTGGTTGTCTCGGCTACTGTACAGATCTCTGTAAAACTCCTCCACTATTTTAACTATTCTATCCATATTGGTAGTTGTTTTGCCTTCTTTGTCCCTTAGTGCATACATCCTACTTTTGCCTATCTTTCCTCTTCACTGCTTTGAAGCTTCCGCCGTTTCTCAGAGCGTGTTTAATTCTCTCCATGTTATACCTTCTTACATCGCATACTTTACGTCTATTAATCAACTTCGAAAGCTCTGCCAGTTCTATTTCGTCTGTTGTACTTGACACTTTCATGGTTTGATGCTTCTTAATTAGGTTCTTCGTTTCCTGGGAAAGCTTGCCAGTGTCTTGTCTAACTACCCTGCCTCCAACTTCCACTGCACACTCCGTAATGATACTCGTCAGATTATCATTCATTGTATCTACGCTAAGGTTGGTTTCCTCACTAAGAGCCGAGTACCTGTTCTGCAGCGACACTCTGAATTCCTGTACTTTCCCTCTCAGTGCTAGCTCATTGATTGGCTTCTTGCGTATCAGTTTCTGTCGTTCCTTCTTCAAGTCTAGGTGAATTCGAGACC